TGAAAGAGTGCCTCTGAATCAACAGATTAAATGGTTGAGTTCAACATTGTAAAAACAGTCTTATCTCTGAAAAGTTTGTTTCAATAACAATGCTATAATTTTCAAATTGTATTCAGCTTATTATGAAAAATTTGCACTATGGTTGCCTAAATTTCAGTTCAAGTTCAAGCCATATTTTCTTCACAAGGCTTTATACTAATTTAAAAGATATAATTCCAGAAGCTCAATCTTTGATCAAATACTTACTGTGGAGTTCTACTACTTACATCTTCATCTGCCCAAAGATTGGGTACAGCAAATGATTCCAACAGATCAGCTCCACAAAGTAACTTCACTGTAGGGGGACTGGACCCTAGAGGGGAAAAAAATCTTTTTCACAAAAATAAAAATTATTTTGAGTGGTCTGAGATTTGGAAGTTTAGAAAAGTAGTCTTGTTCTATTGTTTAATTAACCTGGTTGTTTAAACTCGTGTGAGAGATAAAGTAGCCTCTCACACTGACATTCTTAGGGGCTTTTTCATGATTCCTCTCTTAGTTTACAAAAAGTGTGACAAGACCCATTGAGTGTCTGCATGGGAAGCTGGAGACATGATGTACATCTAATGAGTAGCACACTAAACTCTGAGCCAAAATATCTGAGTTCAAAACCTAGCCAGGATCATTGTATTCTTAGTCAAGACTATTTACCCTTACTGTGCTCTATCCACCCAAGGATACAATGGAATCACAAAGGAATCATCAAGGAAACCTTACAAAATACTGGCAGGGAACCTGTGAAGGACTACCATTGCAAGGACAACCAGCCATACTCCTAGTACACTAGTAGCTTCATTCTACAAAGTTCTACAGCTATTGCTTCTTTCCCTCGGATTCAAATCTCAAGCAATGGCCGAGTTTGATAAGATCTATGAGCAAACTCTGTTCCATGAGAAAAAAAAAACCAGCCAGCAATTTACAGTGGCTTTCAATCATTTCCTCCTCATCACCTTAATTAATAAATTCTACCCAAACATTAAAACCTGTGGCTCAGAGTACTGATTTAAGTACCAGAGAAAGCAAAAAAAGTTTTCTTTCATTTGTTACTTATCAGTGTCAACTTTCTCTCTACCAGGTCAATATACTACATGACAGCACACTGTAAATTACCTGGGAATTTAGTTACAACATCTTCAGCAAAATGTTTCAAAACTTTGGCTGTCTGTGTCCAACCAGCCTGCTTACTCTCCCAGTCATCCACACTGCATGAAAAAAAATTATCATGAAATGTCATGATGTAACAAAACAAGTTAGAAAGCTGAATCAAAGTCAAAGATGTTACCTTATCCAATCAGATGTTTGAACTCCAAGTCTACACATTTGTATTCTGTGTTCAGATTCAATTAGGTCCTAATGGGATTGAATTCAGAAAATCAGACTAGATCTGAGAAAAAGTTGCATGAAGTACATTTTGAGTTAGCCTCTACTAGGCTCTCTTCAGATGGACACAGTCAGAAAGCTGGTGAGTGCAAAACCATAAAGTTCCTTCTTTCAGTTGTTTTTCCCCCCCTCCCCTTGTGACCAAATGTCTCACACATGTTCATTGTTGGTATGTGGGAACATGACCAATAGTATGAAGACTACTTATGGTCAAAGGGAATTAGGCAAAGAGACAGAGAAAATACAAATTTTGAACTTGGCGGGAACTGAATGGAAATGAAGAAGGGGGGCGGGGGGGGAAGGACAAGAAGGTAAAGGGTCCACTCAGTTCATTGCTACCCAAACCACTCCACAAGGCAGTTTGAAAGAAAATCCAACCTTACAGTTTCTTTTAACCCTTAACCTCTGAGAGTGTCTGGCTTCAAATTTCCCTTCACAGTATTACTCTTGAATCAAAATTCTAGGTCATGAGAATAAAGGAAATGATCACCAATGTAAGAAGCTCCTGATTGTCAAACAAATTCTCCTGTCAGCACCATAGGAATTATAAAGAGAATAGTGTAATGAATATGAATGCTAATGTTAGAGTGTAAAAGGCTAATGAGAGTAAATTCCGACTCCTGATTATACAGGTGCACTTGAGCCATCTCTCGTTATACAAAAAAACAATTTATTTGTAATGGGATGCAGATGCCAATCAGTTCATTTACGTGTGAATTTTGAGAATTTTTGTATCAAAACGGTGGTCTGCCTTTTGGTTCAAAAGATTTATTTAAATAAGGTAATAATTGTTTATTCAGAGACAGGAGCCAGCTGAAATCAAAGGTGTCTTTGCCAAATATTTAGAAAACAACGTGTCAATAAATCCCAATCAAAACCTGAAACTTGTTGACAAAAGATCAAATTGCGGTTTCCAATTTACTAGCCTTTTTCTTGTATCCATCATTCACCGGAGAAAATATTCCTTGTACCACTGTATAAATACCCGTTTTGAGCAGAGCATCACGAGCAATTTCTGAAAAATCAGACCAAAAGCAAGAATCTCCAAAGAGCTATGACGAACTAGGGAACGGAAAATGTACGACAAATAACTGAAAATAATAAAATTTTATATTCCTCAAAAATTGCATCTTTACCAAACATCCTCAGGTGTAGGAAAGTGATAGGATTAAAAGAGCCGCAACTCAATAAGACAACTCGAGATTTCGAAGCAGCAGCCGCCATCTTCAAGTCACAAGTAATCGATATAAAAATATCGATTACCCCTGATGATGCCCCTAGTTACGTAGCATCCCATAATACTCTTTGTTTCAAGTAAGGAAAAACATGGAGGACATTCGATGAAATATGGAGATTAAGGATGTAATCTCAGTTTCTGTCAGTTTATGAGGGAAGCGCAGTCTTCGATCTCTTTCTTTCCGATAAAGCCAATGTCAGAGATAATTAGTCATTCTTTTTCTTCTTCATAAGGTAAGTAACATTGCCAAACAAAGGAGAAACGCTCTGGCAATGAATGTTCTTAAGGAAAGAGGCACGTTATGATTTGTTGAATTGGAATTGGATGTCATTTTCTTACAAGTAAAAGATTAGTTCATTTGCACTTTCATCTAAAAAGGAGTAGGCTAGAGTGGAATTTTTCAGAGAATGGATACAAGAAGGAATATAAATGCATGTATATAAATATATTGATGTATGTTTTGTAGTTCTGACCATGTCGATGGGTTGAATAATTTATGAAATATTAACCACAACAGGAGATGTCAAAATATAGCCTCTGAGGTACGCGAATAAGAATCAGGGATGAACTTTCAACCTTAAAGATGTCAACAATTATTCTTGCGGGATACAAAAAAAGAAATTCCTTTGTTTCGAAATTTTGTGTAACTTGAAATCTGTTGCGCTCTGTGTTGAGCAATTTCTCAGAGCGCTACCCCTCAGTTATATAATTATTGCTTCATAAGAGTACGCACGTCTTCAAGTAAACAGTACTTTTTGTATTAGATACATTTTTTAGCGACTTGATGCAAATTTTTTTCTAAAGCGTAATGCGGTTATTCGCAACGATCCTCAGCTTTGTACTGTGTTATTTATTCTCAGTTTTTCTCACCTCACTCCTTATTCCGTATATTTCTGTGTATTTTGTTTTAGTGTGATTATAAGGTTTCTAAAATGCAGAAACCTACCAGCGCTCGCTCGGAGTTTATCGTTGGAGGGAAATATAAATTGCAGCAGAAAATAGGCAGCGGGTCTTTTGGTGATATCTACAAAGGATTGAATATTACAAATGGCGAGGTTTGTATGGAGCAATATCACTATCCTTCCTTGGGTTATGGCAAACTTGGTTGTTGTTGTTTTTCCTTCCTCTAGAATTCTAGAAAAAAAAAATTGGAAAAGAAATCTCATTTTCAGCATGACCTTACATTTGTATGTTGAAACTACTTACAATAGCTTAGAAATAAACACAATAGAACATATTTCTGTCATAGCCAATAAGTTCTAGGTCAATTATAGATACAAAATTCAAAGGTGTACCGTAGCTATTACATTTAGACTGTGTTTCTTGAATGTCCCCATGTTCACCAAATTTTATTCTTGGAAGAACTGTTATAGTATCTCTGCAAAGGTTATGAAAACAACTTACTATGTGTTTATTGAACTCTGCCATCAATGATACAACCTTGTCAAATTCTGGTGATAAGACACTTCTGTATAAAAGTTATACTTTAGATTTTAAACAATTAATAGATATCCCAGTGATTTTTAGGCTGAAAAGCTTTAAAATGTGTGAGTCTGTGTTATGTTTTAAGAAATTCATCTCTGTCATGGCTGAAAAACTGTAATTTGTTCCGCATCAACTGAGCACTGGTTTAGAGTTGAATTGCATATCCTTTCTTAACCCTTTACTGCCCAAGGGAAATGCCAATTTCTCTCTGAAATGAGAATGATGAACCATTGGACCAGATGTGATATATCATTTTAAAGGGATTTTCTAGGGTATGCTATAAATGACACCAACAGGTGTGGAGAAGGTAACTGAAAAGACTGAGAATTGTCCAAAGTGAAAAATTAAAAAAACATTGAAATTTTTCATGCAACTGATCTCTTGACTCATCAGTTCCATTTTAGGGGGGTTGAATTTAATTACAAATTGGTATTCTAGTAGGCATTTTTATTAGCCAACACTGACAGAGTTAAAGATGAAATTACAGTTTTTATAACAGCAAAAAAGGAATTGAAACTAAAAACAATTTGAAATAAAAACATCCTTTATACATTTGATATTCCATCTTGTGTCCAGATAGTACATAATTTGCTAGTTCTGTGAATTTTGTGGATAGCCCTTGTGCATTTTTGCATTGTAGTACATAATTTTCCCCACAAGCCTCACTCTAAAAGTGAAGATTGGTGAAATTTGATGGGAAAATATTTCCATAACACTGAAATCAAAAAAAGACAGACATAAAAACAGCAAGGAGATGGTAAAGATTTAAGGAAAATGTTGTTGTTTGGGGTGATTTTCCATCAAATCATTCAATCAGGTGTAAGAGCCCAAACAGTGAATTCTAAAGGTGTCATTTGAATGACAACCAGTTGAAGACACAATAAGTAAATGTGGGCATTAAAATTATGTATAGCCTTAGCTGTTTTATCTTCCTTTCAGATGTTCAATGTGCTTTCAATTGTTGCCTAGGCAAACAACAATGCAAGCAAACTTTCATCACAAGTCATTTCTATATCAGTGTTTTTTTTCAAAGGTTTTTCAGTAGCCATAAAAACTACAGTAGCACAGGGAAAATCGGAAAGTGTATAGAGGGATTGAATATCTATTTCCCTAGTATCTATTCCATATTGTTGTCATTTAGTACTAATCAATCTTTTTGGGTATATACTAATGTGAAACAAAGGTTAAAATCAATTTCAGATGAAGACAGGTATTTAACTCTTTTGTCCTACTGAAATAGTGGCTGCCTCAGAATCAAGTAGCTGGTGAAAAGCCAGCTGCTTTTACTTCTGGAGAACAATGTATACAGTGTATGCATAACAATTGGAACTTGAAGTGGATTTTACTGACTTGTTTACCACAGAAAACAGTGATGACATGTTGTTAATTTTCTGAACCAACACTCCCTGTAGTAATTATGTTAAAATTAACGTGATATTCGTTCATCTATGCACAATTGTTTTAGTTCAATGCCTGAGCTGACTGATTTTCTTTAAGTTACAACTTACAGTCCCAAAGATTTCTATCTTGTTCATATGAGGATATTTTTGCAGTAATAAATATTTGTTGAAAGTGAAATGGAGCTGTGTATTGTCACAGAAAAAATTTGAAACTCCATAGCCCAAGAGTGGCTTCCAGTGGCTAAGAACTGACAGCAAATAAACAAATTCAATGTTCACTGTAACATCATTGAGACATCCTTTTTTGCAGGATGTGGCAGTTAAACTTGAATCCCAAAAAGCAAGACATCCACAACTGTTGTATGAGTCTAAGCTCTATAAGATATTACAAGGAGGAAATGGTATTCCTAAATTTAGGTATGGTACAGTTAAATCGCTTCTAATTTCTCCTTATAGTATAAACCTTAAATCAAATGTGCAGGTTATGAGAATAATAGAAATGATCAGCAATTCAAGAAGCTGATTTTGAGACAAATTCTCTTCGTCATTACCAAAGAACATGTAAAGAAAACAGTGAAGAGAAAACGAATTTTTAAGCTTCAACTACAGCAGAATCAGTAAAAGTGAATAGTTTGGTTTTCCTTCCAGATATTTCTATCTCCATGTGCTTGCAGAGTTCATTTATGTGCATTATCTTTTCTTTGGATTTTTGTCCTATTGCTGCACTAAGTTAATAAGTGCCCCCCCTCGATTGAGTGCTGTCCTTTCAATAAGGGCCCCCCCTCGATTGAGTGCTGTCCTTTCAATAAGGGCCCCCCCTTTTAGCAAAAATTTTAGATAAGGGTGTGGGCACTTGTTTGAGGAAATGTGGTATTTTACTTGACAGGAACACATAATGTAATAGCTTGTGAAACAAGCCTCTTTACTTAGATTTGGCTGTCCACTGGATTTTGATTGTGTTGTTTCATTTTTGCAGATGGTATGGTCAAGAGAGAGATTACAATGTGTTAGTGATGGATTTGTTAGGACCCAGCTTAGAAGACCTTTTTAATTTCTGCAATAGGAAGTTTACAATGAAAACAGTTCTCATGTTAGCTGACCAGGTTGGTCTTACAAGACATTTCCTACCATATTTAACAACTATTCATCTAAGGCAAAGTAAATATTGTTGGGAAAGCCCTGGAAATGATGTCAAGGGGACAGTTTAATAATATTCCCAAAGCCTTTGGCAAATAATTGTTTTAGTGTAATAGTTCAGTGCTTTCAAATTCTGTAGTAAATATTCATTTTGTTGAATCTTTTCTGTTTCAATTGTTTTGATTACTTGTATCAAGATAAAGAGCCAGTTTCACTTGAATTTGATAGGTTCATCTAATTCAATTAGCCAAAATTTCGTATCTCTCTTTTAAAAAGTGTTACTCCAAAATTAAGAGCATCTTTTGTGCTCTTCTGAACTGACTTTTCTTTATCGCATTCATCACTTCCTCGGTAACACTAACAAAGTGTGAGGCAGTCATTTTGAAATTTAGTGCTCCTGCTAATCTATAGATTTAGCCAAGCCTAAAAGCAGAGCTTGCATTTTTTTTTCCCCACACATCTCAAGGGCACAACGCCTTGCCCTGGCCAGGACTAGAACCTGGGTTGTCCGACTCTGAGTCTAGTGCACTGACCACTGGACTGCTGAACAAAGCCGTGGCGCTGGCGTGCCTGCGGTACAGGTGACCACACATGTTAAAAGTAGCACCTTGTACGGTCGTACATCCAAACTTTTTCAGCTTGATGGGTTACTACTATTTTGTATAATTATGGGGCTATGCTCTGCTCTAATCATCTTGCAGGAGGTGATTGTAACAGGGGGCCTAAATTTCAAAATGACTGCTTTGTGTTTTGTTAGTGTTACAGAGGAAGTGATATAACACAATCCTCAACCAATCAGAGCATATGCATCTCTATAATCACCAAAGCAGTTATACTATTAACCCTTAAACCCTAGGAGTAATAAACATCTAATTTCTCCTTACAATATCACCCCTTAATCATACATCAAGGTCGTGAAAATAAAGGAAACAATCACAAACTTCAAAAGTTCACAATTTTTAAAGAAATTCTCCTTGTCAGTACCTAGGAAATGTATAGAGATCATTAGAGAGAAAATATATACTAATGATAAGGTGTCAATTGATACTCACACTGATTCAAGATTATTTATCAACTC